GAACCCCAGTTTGAGAACCACTGTTCTGAGTGATGCCTCCTCAGGTCACTGAAGTGTTCAATACGAACAAGCTGCCGACTTCCATCTGAGTAAATAGTGAGAGGTTCCACCTGGTGGTACAAGCAGGTACTACAGCTAACGTACAGGACGTTTTCTGAACGTGCACTCCCTTCGTCGTCCGTCTTAACGGTTGCTATGCTTTTAATTGGTTAAACTATTGACGGCGTCGTTAATTGGTCTCCACGCTCTCTCTGCAGGACCGGCTGTTCTTTGTGATGGAGTACGTCAACGGAGGCGACCTCATGTTCCAGATTCAGCGATCGAGGAAGTTCGACGAGGCGCGATCTCGCTTCTACGCCGCCGAGGTCACGTCTGCTCTGATGTTCCTGCATCGCAACGGAGTCATCTACAGGTAACAAGTCAGCGAGCAGCGCCTCGGAGGGGTTTCTGCTCTTCCTGGATTACTGCACCACAGTTTATTCTTTGCTGATTTTTTAACGTGATACGAGCTTTTCCTCGTCACGCCACATTCAACAGAGTGAAACAGTGTCTGCTGCATTTTTGCTGTTTAGGATTTCTTGAGTTAAAGCACAAGTTTTAACTCACAGTTCATTCATTTGTAGCCCATTTGTTAACTAAAAACCGACTGACTGCTTGGAAGCAAACAAGACATGGATCTTCAAGAAGTATGCATGCTGCTTATAGACAACAGGAAAGGTGTGGAGCTACTGTTTGCACACACTTTTATATGGAAAGGTTTTGGCTGTTTGCATCGTCTGAATCGTGAAGTTTTGTGCTCAGAATGGACCGAGGCCACTCTGCCTGTATCCCGTTGCTTTCCTGCTGCTCACTTTCCCTCTTTGTTTCCATCACCCTCTTTCCTTCTCTGTCGTTCTGTAGCTCGTGTGTGAATGTGGATAAGGTGGAAGTTTGCAATCAGAGCTTCTTCCAGGTGGCGTGTTCGGTAGCTCTGAGCTCTGAGAGGTCAAACCCTTCCTTCATAAAGCCGACTGCCAGACGAACAGCTGATTAGAACACAAAGCGTGTTTGTGGTCGAGTGTTCACGTCGTGTTCTCGTGTTCGCTCACAATGAAAAACATTTCTGTCAGATGAGATATTGTCTCTGGTTGTGAGACTCGTCGACCCTGGAGGCTCTGGATCACCTCAGCGTCCCTCTGCTTCAGGTACTATCTGTCCGTGTGGACCCTTCAGTCATAATATCATTGTCAACCAGCAGCAAACACACAGCTGCTCCCACAAAAGCAGCGCGCGGCCTGAATCATAACACCATTGTGATGGATGGAGCGTTCGGCCCGTTTGCTCCTAAAATAGCCGCGATGGAAGACGAGTGCGTTCTCCTTCCGGTGCCTTTCCTGCATGAATGAGGTGTTTAGATTCTCTGCTCATGCAACCTGTGCAGACGTCGGCGTGTTTATGTCGTAACATCTGCACCGCGTTACGGCGCAGAGCGGAGCGCCGAGGCCGGCGGCGCGTCCATGTGGTTCTGTTTATGGCGTCTTGTTCACCTGTTCCATCGTCTCACCTCCGAGGTATTTAAAACACATCAACAGCCGCACATCTGTGCTTATACGAAGAAAGATCTGGTTCATAGTCGCATAACATCTGTCGTCATAGCAACCAATCCAACCTGAGCTGCAACCGAAAACCAAGACCGACCTTTGACGGACGCTTGAAGGAAATTTAGTTTAATTTTAATAGAATGAGGCACCAAAAGCTTTCTGGGAGCACATAAAGATTCTCATTTCCCAAAGTCAGCGTCCACTTTGTTCACATATTCTGACTGTCAGAACCCGTCCACAGGGTTCCGCAGTGGTCCAATCGTCTGGACCTCTCTGGTTCACTTCAACACTCTGAGCAGTTTCTGTGTTTTTTACTCACTGGGATTATTTTCCACTTCAATATAAAGTCCTGCACCTCCATGGGAACAGCAGAGGGAACTAAAACACGTCTTCTTGGCATCATTTGGGAAAAAAAATGTAGAATTTATTTGATTTATTTACTTTTTTTTTTTAAATTACGTACACCGTTTTTTAAAAGAACCTCCAGCTGTCAGACATACCGCTCATGTGTGCAGAATTTATTTATTTTTTTCATTTATTTTTTTTTTTACAGACTTTGGTTTATTTATGGCTTTAAAAATATAGCATGAAGTTATTTTTATTTAATTTTAAGGCTTTGATTTGTTTCTTTTCCGTAGTACACACCACAAACGAGTAGTTCAATGACCATCGGAAATCTAACAATCTAATGATTCTTTCTCTTGTTGTTGTTTCTGGCTGTGGTAAATGGGCTGTTTTGGGCATTTTGTGATGATAAGCTGCCTTTTAAAGCCACCAGCAGGTTGTTAGTCCGTATTTCTGGAGAAACTTTTCAGAACAGACGATAGTTTCGTCTTTACAGCTGATTGGTGCGTCTACGTTCTGTTCTGATGTCTGCAAATATATAATTATTATGAACACACATTGAGGAAGAAAATGTGACATTAGGTTCACCTTCTGTGACTGACATTGAATAAACCTTTATTCTGTGGACAACAAACACGTCCATGTAGGGGTTTTATGTGAGGTGTTACAGATCCAAGCACTTTACTGGGACGTGGTCTTTGTGGTTCTGGCTCATCTCCGGTGATCCGGAGCTGCATGTGTTTGTGCATGTAGAGGGTTTTTTGATTGTGCACGTACCTGCTCTTAAAGTCATGAATATACTAATGTACAAAATGATGGGATGAAATGCTCGTCCACAGACGGAGACAAACAGCTCAGCGACGTGGGGAACGTGCCCAGATAGTAAAGGTCAGGAACGTGGTGACGTGGATCCTCTTCCCGAAATCACTCACTTGTTATTCGGTGTTTTCGTCTGATTTCCAAAAACCCGACATGCACACGTTTCCTGGGATTCTTCTGGATGCTTTCCTCCCTCAGCACAAATTCAAAACCCCCAGATTCACACAGAGAAGCTCCCATCAGTCTAAAAACTAATGACTAGTATTGATCAGGAATAAACCCGGTTTTCGCCCTCAGTCCTTCCTGGTCGTGAATCCTGTTGCTTTGCTGCTGCGGCGACTTGTTTCCCCTCCAGGGTTTAATAAAGTCTCATTTGGTTTGATCTGATCACAGCGTTTCCAGGGACGTTTTCTCTGCTTTGGAAATATAACCCACATCAGCTGAACAATTAAAATCCTGTCGACGCTGATCACAGTCTGTCACAGAACCCTTTATTCTCTCTAATGAAGAAACCAAACCAGCATTCTGCTTTTTGGCTCCAAGTCAACGCGACAGATGTGCCGCAGATGTTCATATTTAACATTTGTGCTGTTAGATTTTATGCAACGATACACTTAAATATGGAAATTAAAATATTAACAGCACCAAATTTGCTTTGTTCAGACTTTAAAATGCTCAAATATAGAAATCTGTCTAATGTGAAACGATATAACAGAAGCGTTCAGTCGAGCGTTTAGTGTTCCAGCTGTTCAGCCTGAAGCTGCAGACGGTCGAGATGATTAAGATTTTGTTCGTTAGTTCCTTCATAAGACGGGAAAACAGCACAGCTTCACTCATATGTGGTTTATTTTTCTGAAAGATTGGTTTGCAGGTATAAGAAAAGAGAAACCAGATGAAACAGCAGCGCTGCAGTGAATCTGCTCAGGAAGCTAAACCATCACTGTACCTGCTGACATGTGGACCAATCAGAACCCTTCACACCTGCATTCACGTGTACGAACAGCCGTGATCTGAGTTGTGTGAAGTGATTTAGGAAAAGCTTTTTAACACCAATGTTGGTCCAGGAAGCATCACAGAGAGCAAATAGTTTGTGGCCAAAATCACAAACATACAAGAGTGCAGAGATCTGTTAGGATGAGTTAAAAAGCAGTGAATGTGAGCACAGGGAGCAGGAGAGAAGGAAACCTCTGGTCTATGTTCAGCTGTTTTCTTCTGCTGAAGCTTTGCATGGTGCCACACTACCTCTGAACTGAGTTGGACTTCACGTGATGCTCTAAAGCTGGAGCAGCTGACAAACGACTGAAGCCAAACAGCTGATGTCATGTTGCTGCTTTCACACAGAGACACTGAAAAACATGACGATGGATTGAAGTCAAAGATCTGATGCATTGTTTTAGCATCATCGTCATAAATAAGGCTGATTAATTGAGGGATCCCTAATTAAGACAGAGTCACTAATGGGTCAGATTAATGAGACTGATCAGGAACGACTCCACCTGGAGCTGAAGTTTGGTTTTTTTGCTTCTTCTGAGTTCATTAAACAGCAGCAGGATCCATGTGAGCGTCTCCGCAGAGGGAAAGCTGCTGCACATGAAACAACAACTTCATTAATGACTTAAAATTATGAATGATCTCAGAGATATGGACTAGCTGTACATGGCTTTACAGAACTATAGCAGAATACATGATAAATGCTATAAAACAGTCGTGTATAATACTTTGATATCCAGAACTCGTGCACACAGATCAGTGAGAGGATCAGATGTGTGCTGAGCAGGTGGGAAACTACATTAAAATATTATAAAATACATGCTATGCACAGGCCGACACACAGAGCAGCGGTTGCATAAACCTGAAGCAGAACAAACAGGCTCAGGGTGTGTGACTGATTCCCATCGTTTACAGAGGAGGCCAAACACAGATTCCTTTTTTCTCTTTCGTATTTCTGTCTGTAGTTGTTGTGAATACGTGATCTGAGACAAACAAGCGTCCAGTCCGGCCGGTGCCTCATTGTTTCACACAGTTAGCGTTACAATGGTTTTATTAATGAAGGGGAGGGTCCGATCATAAAAATCACAGCGCCGTGAGTCCGTCTGAGTGTTTCTCTGGGTTGGCACCATGAAATCCAAATCAGACGACGAGGCTGAAGCCAAAAGCTGGTTTGTTTTTGTTGCTTTTGGCCTCGTAGTCGAGTTCTAAAGAAAGACTCCACCCGAAGGTGACCTAACAGCTTCAACCTGGCATAGAAACAGACAGGAACACCTCCAGAAGGCTCAGTTCTGCAGCATCAGAACCAGATAAAAGGTTCACCTGACCATCAAGTGTCTCCCTGGGTTCAGTAGTGTTTAAGTGGAGCGTCACTGTCATACTTCGTTAAATAGATTCATGTAATTATGATGAAAAAAAATTATTATTTGACAGTTAAATTTTTTGGATAATTTATAGTTATTTTCAGAAATAACCTGGTTTGTTAAAATACCAATAATAAGTAGAAAAATCACACAAAAAATATTACTTTACATGTTCACCAACACTGTAAATTTATTTATTTATTCATTCATTCTTTTTTTTTTTCAATGTGTAAAATAAAATTACAATTTTTTATATTTTAATCAGCAAATATTCTCAATTTTTCTTTTTTAGATATTAGCTGTTGTTTAAAAAAAAC